TTCAGTGACATCACAGCTCCCAGAGGGCTCCATGTGGAACATCCAGCACCTGGAAACGACCACAGCAGACACTTCACCGGCTGCCAGGGGTCAGTTGCTGCTCACCCTGCACTCTGACCCTCAGCACTGAGCTGTTGCTGCTGCCTGGGCTTTTCCTGCCGCCTGATCTGGAGCGCCAATCCCAGCAGGATGTGCTCTGCTGTGCCCATGGAGGTACAGTGCCATGCCAGGCAGGGGGCACCCGGCCTGGGCAGGCTGCAGCCATGTGGGAATGGATGGTGTGGGACAGGAAGCCCACTGGGAGATTGTGCTGCCCCTTGCAGACTGACAGAGACACCGTGGAGGACATGGAAGTGGATCTGGGCCTGGATGAGGAAGAGATGATGGAGGTGGACTCCTCCTCTACTTCCATGTCCTCCACTGTGGAGGACATGGAAGTAGACGAGGAGGACAGCATCGAAGAGATGGACGTAGATGAGGAGGATGACACCGAGCAGATGGAAGTGGACGAGAAGGATGAGGAGGAGCCCATGGTCCTTGGATGAAGATGCAGCCCCACAGGTAAGACAGCAGATGCTTCCCACGCCCTGCCCACACACACACTGGGTCCCCTGACGCCAGGCTGGGGCTGGGCTGGATGGCCCCGCTCAGGGACACGGTGCCCGCAGGGGGCCTGGATTGCGCTGCCACGAGCACCAGCCCCGGCCTGCCCTGCGCTTGCCTGGGGCCACGCCAGCCCTGCCAGCCCCGGCCCAGCCCCTGGGGCCCAGCTCCCAGCCCTGCTGGGCCCAGTGCTGCCAGCTGAGTCCAGCTCTGCTGCTTCCTTTCTAACAGGACTCATGCTCATCATGGCACTGCTCCCATGCCTTTGTAAATACGTTTGAAAGTTTTGAAGTTCCTTGTAAATATGTTCTCTACGTTCCGAGTTTCCTGTAAATATGTTTTGAAGATTGTTAGTCCATCGGATCCCATGTAAATATGTTCTCTACGTTGTTGTTGTTGTTGTTATAACGATTGTTATAACGAAACATGTTGTGCAAATCCTAGATTTGCCGATCTTCGGCAAATAAATCCTGTTTCTTTTTAAAACCTGACTTCTCCTGGCCATTCCTTTGGGCACAGGCAGCCTTTGCACACTTGTGGGTTCCACTTGTTCCACGTTCCCCGGGCTGGAGGTCCCTGTGGGTGCTGGCACGGCCACCCTGGGGCTCGGGGTCCCTGTGCACAGGGGCTCCCACTGACACCACTCCTGGCACTGGGCACTGCTGCTCTTCCTGCCCTGGGGCACAGCGCTGTCCCCAAGGGCTCAGCTCTCACCAGCTCTCACACAGGGGGCTCTCACAGCACTGGCCCCTGCAGCCATGCCACCAAAGCAGGCAGCAAACCTTCAGCCACCCTTCCTGCTGCAGCCACAGGCACTCCTGGGCCCAGAGCCGCCAGCAGGCCACAGCCATGCAAAATCCACCTGCACATGCTCTCAAGGCCACCACAGCCTTGGCAACTGGGCCACCTGCACCTGGGCTGCTGCAGGGGCTGATCTTTAAGCCTTGCAGCCTCCAAAGGCCCTGGGCTCTGCTTCCCAGCCTGCTCTGCACTGCCCTGAGCCCGCATTGTTCCAGAGACAAAAGCCAAGCCAGGGCATCCTCACCCTGCCCGCATTCCTGCTGCTGCCAGCGGCCACTGGCCCCTGGGCCCCACTCGGGTGGCAGCTGCAGGGACAGGGCAGCCTGTGCTGGGCAGGGGGCACGGGGCTTTGGGCCCTGGGGCTGCTGCTGCTACTTCTGCTGCTGCTGCTGGGGGCCAGGGCCCAACAGGGCCCCGAGCTCAGCCCCTGCCCGGCCAGCTGCCCCCAAAGCCCCACACTCCCCGAGCATCCCCATCACACCTGCCAGGGGAAATACCATGGGATTCAGGAACAAAATTCCCCATAGTGGCTAGACCAAGGGGTCCAAGGGGAAAGTCAGCACCAGCTGAGGTTTACAGCACCTTGACAAAGGTGGCTGCAGGGCAGGTGAGATCTCCAGGGCCTCTGGCAGGGCCTGCTCTGCACGTGAGCCTGTGCGGCTGCTCCCAGTGGGACACAGCACCGGGATCAGGCCAGCCCTCAGCCCCTCACAGCTGATCCCAACCAGCAGGCTCAGAAAGCATTTCCAGACCACCTCCTGCAGATATTTCAAAGGACTACTTGTCATTCAAGGAAGCCACCTTGCACATTTAGTTTTGGTGTCGTGGCATGAGGAGCCATGAAGGTGCCTCTCAATGTGCACTCAGGGCACTTCCACTGCAATAGCTCATGTTTGAACTGTGACTTTTTACCTAGTCTTATAAAGCACAAAACATTGTCAGAATGAAATCACTTGCCTGATATATTTGGATACTCTGGGGCATTCTGGTTTTGAAATCTTGTAGGACACTCCCATATTCCACAGGTATGCCTGGATAATGGCAAGAATCCTGAAAAAGAATTGAATTACTACTAAAAGTCACATTTTGAACATTACAATTAGAAAAGCCAACAATCAAAATCAAGCACAAAGTCTTTATACAGGAAATGCTTTCCAGGCTCAAACTAGAAAGGCCTAAAACAACAATCTGAAAACAATGTCGAGGTTTTAGGTGTCACTAAATAATATTTAAAACTATATTAGATTCAACAAATATACTTTTTAAAGTAAGTAACATCAAGTAGGAATGGACAGAAGAGCTTTGTTTTGAGGTCTGATCAAAAGTGGCTCAGAATCACTCCTGGTACTCAACAATTACCTGTAATGTTGATTTAGAGGAAAGAGCTCAAGGTAACAGAAGAAAAGTGTTAAAGGGATATTTTTCAGAAGAAAAGTGTTAAAGGGATATGTAAGAACATATTTAAGACAAAAATAAAAAAAATAAATTACCCTAGAATGTCTTGGCAAGTGAAACTTTAGTGTCCTCATCTCCCAGTCAACAGCTCATACAAGGAGGAGGGTTGGTTTAGTATCTACAGCTTTTTTCCAAAGCCTTTATTTCTATTTCATCTATTTGTGTTTTGAACTACAGAGTAAGATCTTTTGTATATTGCCTTTGGGTCTGGGAGCTTGGGAGCTTGCTGCTGGTATGTTGTTGCATTAATATAGCTGAAATATCTTTTAAAGCCTTATGTCCAAGGTAAAGATATCTGAGCATCTAAAAGTTAAATGGGCATCTCTCCATCAGCCTCTTTTGGAGTTAAACACTTAGGTTATTGAGTAGCTCCAAACACCATAGACAATGATTTAGCACACTGCACAAATTGCAAGCGCTAACATATGGCAAGAACACCCCTTTTATTTGCTTGCACAAGAGCAGGCATGGGCAACACCTGGTTTGCTCAGCCTGGAGGAGAGTCAAGGGAGACCTCACTGAGGTCTTCAACATCCTCACAAGGGAAAGTGGAGGGGCAGGTATCGGCCTCTTCACTCTGCTGCCCACTGAGAGCACTGGAGGAGATGAAGTCGGGAGGGGAGAGTTTTAGGTTGCACATCAGGAAGAGATTTTTCACCCGGAGGGTGTTTGAGCACTGGAACAAGCTCCCCAGAGCAGTGGTCACAGCTCCTAGCTTGAGTTCGAAAAGCATTTGGACAATGCTATCAGGCACATGGTGGGACTCCTGTGCTGTCCTGTGCAGGGCCAGGAGTGGGACTCCATGGTCCTGATGGGTCTCCTGTAACTCAGTACATTCCATGATTTTATGAACTAATTTACCATTGTCTTCAATGACTGCGATACTTCCAGGAAAAATCTGTAGAAGAAACTGACCATCAAAATTTTCTTATAGTCTACATTTTCATCACCAGCTGAGCCTGGAAGAGCAATTTCCTTAAGGACAAGTCTGCATGCTTCATCCAACATTTGTTCATTCCAGTGTCTGTCAGGAAGAATAATAGATACAATCAGACCAGGACTAATAAAAAATAAATACCAATTGCAGTAATTTATGTGTACCATCGACCACAGACACTCCTGATCACAATTAAGTTAAAATATTGATTCTAATAATGTCTGCAATTTTTAAAATGGTGTAGATCAATCTTGCTCACAGAGCTGAACTCCCATAAGCAAACGGAATTAAGTGCTATGCCAGCATTTTTAAATAAACAAATACACAAATAAACCCTATTACAGCTTTAAAGCTGCTTTAGCAGTCTTACTGATTCTCACCATATTGCAGATACTGTCCCATATTTGAAAAAAAGTAGATATAGATGCAAAATGTAGATACTTTCAAGGGATCTAATTAGCTGTTACATTTTCTGAAAGCACCTTCTTCTTCAAGTAACTCAACACAGTTAATTCTGTATAGTTACACAGCTACAGATACCAAAATATTAAGTCTGTTAGACTAAATTTAATAATGTTAAGCATCAAAAACATCAACTAAAGAAACAGTTGCATATTAAATAGCAAAAAAAGGCCACGGGGGTTTCATTTAGTGTTATTTTTATGCTGCTTGAATTTGCAATTTTTTTCCTCCAAAACTTTGAAAAGTGCTGCAAAGTGAGAAGGAAAGTCAGGGACTAATTCCAGAGATTATTGAGACCTTGTACATGAAGATATGTTGAAAAGGTGAAGACTTGACTTGTGCTTCTAACTTTATTTGGCACATCTAATGTTCTCAAACTTGGTATTTTTAGAGACAAACTGAAGGACTCAAGAACACTGATAAGAGGATTATCAAATGTATGGGGTACAGAGTAATTTATTCATCCTTGGGTTTAGGTGCACAACTGACTGATGTATACCTCACCCACTTATCTCACAGGCCATCTCTTATCTCTCTGCATAATTCACACTGGAGTTGAGCTTCATGTGCAAACTCCAAAATGTAACAATCCTGAAAAGTCATCATTAAGGCTTGATCATTCACTTGAACATACAAGGCATCAGTCAGGTAAATGAAATCTTTCTGTACTTTCATGTCCCAAGGAACATGAACCTGAGCTCTCAAAGTCCCTTTGCTCAGAGACACACAAGACAAAGAAATTTTACCTTCCAGTAAGGGTCCAACAAGTTTGTTTTGCACAGACTGTTGTTGAGCCAGCACCTCCATAGAAAATGCTTAGATCCTTTATCATGTCTGTACCTTCTTCAAAAAGGACCCTCATCCCAGCATTGGTTATCGGAAGAGCATTTTCCCGTCTTGGTGCTCGTCGAAATGCAGAGACGTACTCCCCCTGAGCAAGATTACAGAAATGCAGACATGTAAGTATCTGAAAGTAGATTTTGTTATTGTGCTATGTGAAGCAAGAGAACAGAAAATTAAGAGCACAAATTCAACTTCCTGAGGATTCAAGACCATGCATTTTCTCCTCTTGACCTTTCAGTAGATTTAGCATCTTTGATTTTCTAGCAGCTCGTACACAATCCTCCATCACCTACACAGTTCAGATGACCTAGATTTTTTCATGGTAGATAACAGCAAGACAGGGATTTTGTGGAACTGTATTTATAACAAGACCATAAGTTTAGAGGCTTCAAGGTATTGCCAAACTTCAGTATTCATATAAGATAACCCATAATTCTCTTCTAAGATCCCATATCCACTCTTGCAAATCCAGTATCAGTTAAAGACTATTATTCAGTTCAGCAACATTTATGGAACCACCATATGCACATATCCAATCTTATCCCATTTTAAGGAAAAATCCTCAGGAGATGACAATGCTTTGCCAATTTGATGCCAGTCATATCACAGGTGTGCAGTCTGCTTTGGTGAGCACAATGGCAACTTGTCCAAGACCCCTTTCCACAGGGGATCTAGACAACTGCTATTTCCCTCATCATTTTAGGGCAAACTTTTTTCTGAATATTACTCTTTATGTAGCATTGCCAGCTACCTGCTGAGTTGTGTTTTTGGCTGAAACTGGGAGATACTATGGCACTGAAATGAATAAATGTAAGGAATTCAGAAAGTGAGCAGTAACAGTGCTAGTTCAAACAGATGGATTATGCCCCTTCTTGCTCTTTATTTCATAGTCTTTAATTCTGCATAAAGCAAATCTAAATAAACTAATAACTTACCTTCCTAGAATAGGGAATATGGATAGAGACTAAGATCTCTTCTGGTGTAATGGTATTGTTACCAACTCCATCTGCAAAAATATCACTCACAGAAATCTGTCGCCTTTGTCCTAAAAAAAAAAAAACAAAAAACTCAAATCCAGAAAATTCCCTACAATTGTGCAATTAACACAATATCAATAGTATTTTAATTAGCAAGAAATACCTGCTGCCTTCCTGAATAAATAAACACTACAGAGCTTACATAAAAAACTGTCAGTGATATGTTCCATAAATTCAAATGGTTGCTCCATCTTCCATAACATCATAATACCAGATTCCTAAAAAAAGTACTCAGAGGTCAATCCCCATTCTATAATCCTCCCTTCCAATACTGCCATGATGATTCCACCCTCAACCCTATCAACTTATTCCAGATCTCTGCAGCTGCTGTCATAACTACCTTTCAGTCTAAAACATACAAAATGAGGAAGCAAACTGAGAGGTAAAGAACTGCTGCAAAAGTAGAATGTTATTAGGAGGGTGGGGCTTTTGTTGTTTAGGTTTTGGGTTCATTTCTTCTTTTCTTTTTTTGCTTTTCCCCTGAGATTCTGAGCATTTCCAGGAGTCCAGAAAGAAATAAATGCTATTGCTCTTTCCTTTCTCTTTTTGGTATTTTATTCTGAAAGTGAACATATTTGTTATTCTGTGATGGATATTATGAAAGATAAAATTCTCAGAAGGAAGATGACAAAATTCTGCAAGGAACCTAAATCTCTAAGAGCCCTTTGAACATTTAAATGCTACAGAGACAGGCTATCTCCTCCTACCTTTTGAAGCCAGATTGAGCATGCAGTTGCTGGCTGCCAGAACAGGATTCAAGTCTGATGTTGATTTTCTATTTATGATGTTTCCACCAAATGACTTGAAAAAATAAAGAAGTTTATGTTACTTTTCTCGGTAATCATCATATTAAGTGACAATATGAGATGCAAATTATATGTACGTTAATACATATTGAAAGCTACAAAAAGAGGTATTGATAGAAAATTCATGGCAAAATCAAAATTAAAAATGCAAGTTCTACATGTGGTCAGGACCAATTTCACATTTGTTACAATTTTTTCAAATAGTAATTGTAAGTAATTCCCAACATACAGCAACATTTCTTATCTGTTCTCCGCCCAGAGTTCTCAATTGCTGCAAGACAGCACAGAAAACCCTTGTCTTCTCTTCAGGGAACTTGGCAATTGCATTTGTCAAGATGTCTTTCACTAGAGAGAGGCTGCAGGCAGCTCCCAGAGTTAACCCTGTAACCAAAAGATTATGAAAGTGTAACATGTGCATTGCTTTATTGCCTGGGTTTTAAAGTGTCTTCAGACTGAAGAGTTAGGACAGCTCATGGGAGCTAAGGCAGATAAAAGGAGAGGAGCCTTTGCATTTTAAAGGAACTGGAACCTTTATTTCAGGAGACTGAGGGTAAAATCCCTAGAAATTATGAAATAGAACTAATACCTCACCTCCTCTGCTGAAAGGGAAATCCCTTCTGTGCTTCCAGCTGCACATCCCAGCTGCTTCCCTTACACCTTGCTTTGACTGAGTAAAAATTTAGGAGACATCACACAAAGGTGAGTCAGCTTCAAAACGCTTTCAAAAGACTTCCTATTCCAAAGCATGACTTCCATCCTAATTTCATCTTCCTTTGCATATGTACATGCTAGTTATTCTTCTAACATGGGGGTAGGTAGCATTGGCAGCAAAAACCCAAATAGTCCTAACAATGAAGACAGTATCATTTTTCCCACTAGAAAGAGAACTCATATGCATTTACTTCGGAAGTTTTTTTTGTAAGATTATACTTCTGATTTTTTTTGTAAATGGTACACAGTTCCCTTCTATTAAAAATAATTATTTACATAATAAATGAATGTTTTCAATGAATACTGGGATTCAATTAAATGTATAAATGAAAACAGAAATAAATTTAATGCATTTTAATTAAGCAAAGCAATATTAAATTTTGTGTATTTAAAAGAAAAATTTAATCAAAACATATTTTGCATTTAAATCTGATGAAAGAGAGGAAATGCTATTTCTGGCTGGCAAACTAAACTGCATATCTCTTGTTTAGGACTAGTAAGTCTCACCTTCAAATACCTAGGTTTTATTTACACACTTTAAAGAAGGAGTAAGAATTCTCCCAGCTTTTTTCAATTCCTAGCTACTTTTCAGCAAAGAATAAATTAGTCTTTGAATAGAACTGGATGGCTGACCAGAAATAAAATAGATATTCTAAATGCAACGACAGAACTATCAAACACAGCTTATCACTTAAGAAAAAAGTGCCTTTCGGGCATATAGCAAATAATTAATCAGATATGACTTTCCTTAAAAATTTGGCTATAAGCTAGTACAATGTAATTTTTATTCAACTACTTCAGACTATTATACTAAGCTGAGACCTGTTCTGGTTGTAGTTCTAATCCACCAGAAATTATTTAAAACCCAAAACCTAGTCTAACTAAAAAAATCTCCACGCTTAGTATAAACATGTAAGTTGAGGTACAACATTTTTAACCCATTATAATTAATGTTGTTATGATTGAGAACAAGATCAGTCAATGCATATCAGTGATGCCAGTTTAATCACAGCCTTTTTTCTAATGTAACCAAGCATGCCACATGCTAACTCTCCCTGTGGTTCTGTAAGGATCTCTCTGCTATTCAGCAGTCACAGAGCAAATCCTGCATGACTGACCACCAGAACCAGTATTGCCAGAATAATCATCCTTGCACTAAGGCCCAAGATAATATTGCTGGTCAGCTCTGCACTGAGTCAGGAAGCCAAAACCCTCCTGCACTGTGTTTGGCAACAGCCCCTTGACCTGGGAAACAGCCAAGCACGCTTAGGGAATGAGTTGCTCAGCACTCTGGAATGGTGCAGCATTCCTTACTGCAAAGAAATCTTCTATTTTGGAAAAAAGTAATGTTTACTGACCATCATTTGTGTATTTCAGCACATTCAGATCAGGGATCCTTGCAGGAACAATAAGAACTGGATGGAACACACCTCTGAACTTCATGTCAGGTCCTACAAGACAGGAATAGACGCAGACAAAAAGCTTTTCCATAACGACAGCTCCCACATACTGGAACGTAAGCTTAGGGATGAAGATGCAAAAAGAACCACAAACGTAGCCCCGGTCCTCTCATGCACACTGGAACTAAAGCAACAGGAGCTGTTCTGATCACATACATACCCACACTGGTGTTCCCAACCACAAGAGGTGCTTTAGGGTAGGTGGCTTTCAGATCCAGCAGTTCATCCAAGCTTACAGGAGAAATCCATGTTACTCGCTCCCCACGAAAAACCAGAGTTCTTTTTGGTTGATTTTCTGCCATTCTCTGATGGAGAAACATGGCAGATTTAAATATTTAGACATACAGACAGAAGTGAGGCCTAATAGACAATAGACTGAAAGTCAAAAATGTTCTTAAACAACAGCAATTCTACACAGTCCTTTAAAATTGGATAAAAAGGGGACAGAAATGTTATGCTGGCTAATGTTTGCACAATGATGAAAGTCGAGACTGTGTGGGTGAAAGGTCTTCAAGTAATTCCAGTGGGCTTATAAACAAGAATGATAATAAACAGTCCCCTAGCAAAAGATGTAGGGATAGATCCTGCAATTGCTAAAACTGTTAAAAAAGTGATGAAAAAATACTTAGTAGTAGTTCTTGGAGAGCACCAATGGCACTGACAGCAGCATCCCCTTCTAGATTATGCATACACTTAAGTGTCTCCGGCTGTTCTAGCACTGATCACTTGGAAATAGCTTGTGAACCAGTGCTGGTACAAACACACAGTAAAGAACTCCTGTCCTGCAGTCATCAATCTTTCTCCAGAAGCAGTCAGCTAACTACAGAATCTGGCTTTGAATCTCTACAATGGTAATAAAGTAAAACAAACAGCATTCAGTTTTTCTAGGGCAAATACTGCTGTCAATAATTAAGGATGCCTAACGCTTTCAATTCCAGCTGTTTATATCTTCGGCATGCCTTAATCACAGGGGCTAAACACTCTCTGATCTGGGCGGCCATCTGAGAACAGACTAACACAACTATTAAGCCACAAAACTGTTTTCCGATGTTAAAAATTGTTTGCTATTCAGTTTGCTGTGAAGTATTTTTATCTTCAGCTGCTGGACTGAAAATTCAGTTTAAGTTGCTTCTTTACCTTCTCACCTGACATCTAACTCTGCAGCTTCATTTTCCCAATATGACTTTTTTTTGGTATGCGAATATTCAATAAGCTTACTGGGCAAAAAAACAACAAGGAGTATAACAACATTAAAACGTTCTGACATGTCTTCTGATGAATTACTGCTAAGCAGGACTTAAGAATTAATTCTGAACAGAGCAACAAATAGTCTACAAGCAGCAAAAGGTACCATTAGTTCTGGAGGGAAGATAAGCTCCTGGGTGGGATCTAAGGGCTGGAATTCATCTGCTGAAAACAGGCTGGTGGACACCTTAAAAAGAAGACAAGCAAAGACCAAGAATCTTCTCTCATCATTAATTTCACAAAACAATATTAAAAGAAAAAGCAAAGCCAAACCAATAGACTGCCACTGAAGTTAGTAAAAAATGTAGTAATTTCATTATCATTTGGATTTGTTTTTAAATCACCATGCATCATTTGGAGGTGCTGAGGTGAAAGAAGTGTTCATAATATTTTCTTAAATGCTACTGCTAACACAAATGACAGTGCAGAAGCAAGCAACTGAAGGACTAAGGACAGGCTTCCTGTAGTTCTACTATAACAAAGTAGCTTCATGCCAACCTAAAGTACTGAAAACCCAAAGAGGTAGATCAGCTATTACTGAAAGAAAATTAAGAACAAGGTGAAATACTTGTATGGATAAGAGGTTTCACATAAAATCACAATCATAGCTCTAATTTTTTAGAGTGTATCAATTCTCCAGAGTCAAGTCAGCAGTTTTCCTAAGATACCAGTACTCAGAGCATCACTGATCATTGATTTAAGCAAATTTCACATATGCCCTAATGTCTTTCACAATGTAATTCTCACTGTACTGGTAAAGCTCAGACTATTAATAGTACTGACCCTGAAGAGCTGTTCAAATCTCAGCTCTGGAGACCCAAACTACCTTATACCAATTATCTGACCACAGATAGTGCTATCAGAGCCCCCCCATACAAATTCACACATAGAATCCTCAATTTTTCAAAATATTTCCAAATTTCTCACGAGGAATAATAAAATATCATATTTATCAAATACTATATGCAATATTCTTTCTCTAAGTTTTATATTGAAGCAGGATCAGTAGTATATTTAAAACTTTACCTTCTCTTCATTGTCAAACAAATTATCTTCCTGATCCAAGCAACATTTTCCATTTGCTTTTCTTTGACAACAAATGGATTCCTAAGATACGAAAATCCCATTAGTGACATACTGCCCAGAATGGCAATGAGTTAAAGCTCATAAGATAAGAGTGACTCTATATTTCAATAAAGTTCTAGATGAAGTTTATTAACAAGCTGAATTAGAAGGATTAAGTGTTAAAGGAATGATATTAAAAAATTATTTTAAGTCATCAAATGTTGACATCCTTAATACAAAATAATTCCCACTGTGTAGAATTCTTTTGACATTGTGAGAGCAGATGTAGATGGTCTGTATTGTTTCCTTTACCAACTGTTCACTCCCATTTCTCCTTGGTAGGTTTCTGACACATTGCAGTGCGTGATAAATTCTAAGAACGTGGACTGAAATTCTGCTTTTATTCATGCCAGTACTAACTCACAGTAAACCACATGGAGTTACTTCAGATTACTCCTCATAATCCAGGCTAGACACCATGTTCACTTCTGTTTATCAATTTTTCTAAGGGGTTTTTTACATCATTTACTCAGAATGACACCTTTAAACAGAGGGTCAGTGAAAATCTTGATGGCCTGTATATGCATATACACTGATGCCCCCAATCTAGCACTCCTATCACCAGTACTTCTTACCTTACAGAAGGTTTTACAGGCATCTAAGATTGGCCTGTATCCAGTACAGCGGCACAAGTTCCCTGAAGGAAGGAAATCAGTCAGAAAAGGTTTTGCTCTAAAGATGTGGCTTTAGAACGTCATATGTTTATGTGAGTTTTGTGTTTTTTAAGCTCAAGGAGAAGTGTCAGCTCTCAAAAATAAAAAACAGAACAGTGACACAAGACTTAGGACCTTGCAGCTCCTGACAAAAAATGCTGTTGTTTCAAGGGGTGTATGAAATAGTTGAGATCTGCACTACAGTGAATGCTGGCTCCAGGTCAGCAGGAGAATAAGAGATTGTACAGTATTTTTTACCCACTCAAAATATTGTTCTCTTTCCCCCTGACTTTTTTTCTAGAAGTGAAGGAAACTAACGTTACACCTTTAAACTCACCACACAGCAACAGGAAATGTCCTTGGCTCCACTGTGGCTCTAGAGCACAACAGATGACAGAAGGCTATTTTACCTACAATAAATGCTCACACTTTCCCTTACTGAAGATAAGGCCAAGAGATGCAGACTATCTGTTTTAATCCTACTGCAAAGGGCCTGTCCTGCAAGGTTTATGACATTCTCAACACCAGGCATAAAGGGACCTTGGAGACGCTCACATGCAGCTGCTTCTCCAATATGACATAATTTTTGCACATCTGATTTTAAGCATTTCAAAAGACACATATGGGGATGTTTTGAGCACCTGAAACAGTCCACAGCTCTGTGTTTCATTTTCCAGGATAAAAGAATGACAGGGAATACAAGGCCTCCATCCAGCAGCAACTCTTCTAGAAAGCACAGCTTGTAAGAGTACATCCTCCATGCATGCAGACATGTATACTCACACAGACAAGCACTCACAAAGCACCTGAAGAAATGCTTCAGGAACACACCTGCAAACTAAAAAGTGGCAATATTTACCAGCCAGAGCTGCAATCATCTGCTCTGAAGTTGGTTCTGGGTGGTTTCTTAGCAAAGTGTATATGGACATCACCATTCCAGGTGTGCAGAACCCACACTGGGAGCCATGGCACGTGGCAAGTCTTTCCTGAAACGAAATACCACAAACAACACTCCTTCCAGCACTCATCTCCATTCTAATGAATGCTCTCTTAAATAGGTGATGCCATACAAAATGTTGCCTTGGTAATAAACCAGACTTTTTAAGTAAAACATTTAAAACAATATCAAATGCAAATAATTATTTTGGGTGTGATGTTGATGCACATGTTACTAAAGAAGCTAAGTAACCTTCAGCAGACTTCTGTCTTTTTTGCACTTATACTAAAACATGAACCAAAGGGACACTGTCCAAGATGTGTCATTAGCCCAAAGAGAGCAAAGCCTGACCCACTCCAACAATCATCACGTATCAACTACTTGATCAGACTGTCAATATTAAAGTAAGTTCCATCATCAGCCTTGATCAATCAACCACCAGAAAACAACCCTGCCCTCTGTTGTCACTTAGCAGGGAAAACAACAATCTTATTAAATTTCCATGCCCTAAAAGCACTGTCACTAAATTCATTCCATACAAAAAAGAAATTAGTAATCTTCCTATATAGTGATACTGCACTCTCACCTGAACTGGATGAATCCTGGTTTTGGCACTTCCAATACCTTCCACTGTAGTCACTGCTGCACCATAAAAGGAGCAAATGGGAAGCAAACATGCATTGGCTGAATAGTGTCTTTGGAACATAAAGGGGAATAAAGAACATGAGTATTATTTAATAAACAAATCTGAGTATTATTTTTCGGTCAATCAAGACATAGCTCATACTTACATACAAAGCAGCCACTATTAACATTTGGAATGAGAAGTGATCACTTTTTAGCTGTCTCTTGACCCCCATATAAAAGCATATCTATAAGGACAATTCAATGGAATTTACATCTTCCTTAATACCTCAGTCTTTTCTAATTGCCCTCTCGTCTCTCTTGCCCACAAGGAATCTGTCAACTGTATTTTGAAGAAGAAAGGTAGGGAAAGGAAGATTGCTGTAGTCATCAGAAGAAAGTAAAGAATTACTGCTGCAAACTTATAATCAAAATTCCGATCCACAGGAAATTCTGATGTAAAATAGATACCATTGTTCCTATTTAGGAACAATGTTGCAGCATAAGCCACAGCATACCTTGCAGTTGAGAAGGCCATGATCCACAGAGTATCATCAAACAATTGAGAAAGCTTCAACTCACAGAGTAACATCATACCACTTCAGAAGGCTTCAGGAGTATGCCCATACAGAGTAACATTATGTCACTTCAGAAGGCTGCAAGTGTCTGCCCTTCTTGCTCTTTAGCCCAGCCTTTTATACCTTCATGTTGATGCATTGCACCTGTGTGCCCTCTGTTCCCTTTGGTGATTGGTCAGTGCCCCTGGGCACTCCAGCTCTAATTGCTTTTAATGCTGCTCACCTGACCTACACAGCTGTAGCCCACTGGGGATGAGGCTCAGCCACAGCCCCACTCCCAATCACCACAAACTGTGCACCTACAGAACAACACACCAAAATCAAAATTCTTCAAAGCATTTAATAATTTCAATAAAATTATTTAAAATTATTGGGTTTTAATACAGTTAAATTTTTTCAGTAGTCTGCTTTAATTTTAGCTCTTTCATTAACTTTAAACATTTTCATTTGTGTTGCATTCCAATGTAATGTAATTGTACAAAAGGACAGCTGGAATGTTTTTTCCCCACCCAATAAACACTTCAGCGTACAATGACATGTAACCATTTAACAATTTGATTGATGTTTTCTCAACTTAAAAGCAATTTATTCCAGTCTTTAGCTTACGGACTCAAACTCCAGGTTTCAGTTCAAAATCTTTCTTTCTGTGGGTGGGATGTAAGGAATGGAGTTCAGTATCAAAGGGCTGATAAGACTCACACTTGTGCCTACCCTACCTTCCCACCAATTATATGACAGTATGCTGGTTTTGGCTGGGACAGAGTAGTAACTAGTTTGAAGCTGTGCTCTGGATTTGTGCTGGAAGCAGTGCTGATAACACAGGGATGTTTAGTTACTGCAGAGCAGGGCTTACACAGAGTCAAGGTCTTTTCTGCCTCTCACCCCACCCCACCAATGAGGAGACTTTGGGAGACAACAAACTGGGAAGGACACAGCTGGGACAGCTGACCCAAAATGACCAAATCATATTCCATGTCATGTGGCATCATGTGCAACATATAGAACTGCGGGAAGAAGAAGAAAGGGTGGAAGTTTTGGAGTGATTGTGTTTGTCTTCCTAAGTAACCATCACAGATGATGGTGTCCCAGCAGTGACTGGACATCTGCCTGATGATGGGAAGTAGTGAGTAAATTGTCTACTTTGCTTTGTTTGCACAAGCAGCTTTTGCTTTATCTATTAAACTGTCTTTTCTCAACCCATGAATTTTCTCCTTCAGCATTCTGATTCTCGGCCCCATTCCGCTGGGGGGAGTGAGTGAGCACCTGCACGGTTCTCAGTTACTAGCTGGACTTAAACCACCATACTGAGCTGCAGGTAGGAGCCACATTCCAGTGGTCAAGCCAAAGAATCTCAAATTAATGCCTCCTATGACCTCTTGCAGGGGCTATCAGTATTTATTTATAAATCAAGCATTTGAGTATGATAGTTCAGCAAATTTACAATACAGCTGAATCAACAGCAATTTTTCCAGCATTCTCCTTTTGGATTAAAGTGACCTTTCCTCTAGATACTTCTACTATTAAGTACAAGTTCTACAACTCTGTTTTTAAGGTTTCATATCTGGAAATGGTATCAACAATCATAAATTTTTCTGCAGTTTCAAAATATTCTGTTGAGGATACCGTATCTTCTTTGAAGCTGGCTCATAAGTTGATATCATCACTGTGCAAGCACCACAACCACCTCCTCCACAGCCATACTTAGTTCCTGTAAGACAGACTGAAAATGCTGTCATTAGGGAAAATAATTATCTGGTTCCATTCTGGGCTTTATTCCACTCAAAGGCTTGAGACAACCTTTTTTCCTAAACTCCTAAGGAACACAGAATTTGTCTGGTATCAGCATATGTACTGGATTCTGTTCTATATTGGAATAAATTTTCAGTGAAAGCAAGATGGAAGCTAAGAAGTTACATGACCAAAATCCTCTTCCCAAGAAAACAGAAAACTTGATTATAATTTATTTTGGAAGAGGAGTAAGTTGTGACAGAAAAGGGAAGTGAAAATTACTTCTCCAAGTGAAAACTGGAAAGGAAGAAATATGTAATGGGCAAATCAGCTGTATATTTGAAATTCCAGTGGAACACTAAAACAAATTTCCCAGTTTCTCCCAGAAGGCCCATTTATAGACAGGATATTTGCCTTGCATCACATCTGAAGGATCACACTTCTGAGAGAAGTGCTCATTTCTGTGAATCTGGAACAGTGGCCAGTCTAAAACTGTGAATCAACAAACAGCTACTTTAATGTTCCAACGCCACCAAAAGAAGATGCCTTTTTGCCCCACAAAATTCCATCAGTCTCAGGTTTTCATCACAAGATCTCCCCTTTACCAGGAGAGAGACTATTACAAAGCCTGGGGACTTTTATTCTGTCAAGTTACTGACCCCTAGGTTTTTAGACTTCTTTATGAGGTGGGAGGGGAGGAACACAGACACATATTCATTGCGCCTGATGGCATAATTTATCTCTTTAAAAAGCCAGGCCAAAAATACAGCAGCTCAACTGAAGGATATTTGGATTAAGAAAGAGACATCATTTAGTGCAGTTGATTTATCTTAAAGCTATCACAACTTCCTTAATCTGGTAATTAAACCTTGAATTAAAATTTCTTAGAATTTTACTTGAATAAGGCTTTCATGAGTGACTTTAGGGAACAGACAAGAAAAGGATACGCCTCTTTCGCAGATAAGCCAAGAGCATTTGTTCAGGATCAGCATTTTTCTCTATTATCTACAGCAAGAAAGTAAAAACAAGGTTTAATTAAGAAACCAAGGCATTTCGTAATCCAGGGCACAGACTACATTCACACAAGGCCAGAAGAGAATCCTTCTCTGGTTCCCTCTCATAGTACTACACTAATTGCCAAACACCACAGGAGAGTTTGGACTCCTGGAAACTCCTTTTCAGACACATACACTTCCAGAAAAGAACTGTTAGGGCACCGGGCAAGTACTAAAAATAACTGGTGCTCAGTGAAATGTTATACTGAGGGAACTGACCTTCGGCCACACTAGAAATAAAAATGTAGAACTTTAAAGACAGCATAAAGAACTAACTAATGATTTGCAGATTTTAAAGTCTCCCTGGCACTCTGACATACTCGAATAAACATTAGAGGAAGTCTGTAAGGCTATCGGCAGTAGCGATTTCTTTTCTAGTTTTATTTATATTAACCTTCACTTGCTGTAAGAAACTGACAACAGAAATATCCACACTCTTGATCGAGTACAGTATTTCTTATTTGGTCACTTAGAATCAGCTAGTTCATTACACTTGGTTTGGATCAACAACCAGTCCTAGCAATATTATCTTTACGCTCAATAGTCCAAATTTGGGCACTAAAGTCTTGCTTTCAGTTGTGCCTCTGAAAACCTGACACCATCAAAGATGAGAAGCCAGACATCCAAGTGGAAAAAGGGGTTTGCTTACCAGCCAAGTTTGATACCCAGCTGAAAGTGTGTTTCACTTTGACACACTTTTTCTCCCAAACATAGCAGAGCTAGCCAAAATGGGATGCAACCATCCAACCTTCTTCCAGAGGTTTGTGTGAGGCTTCGGTTACACTCGTTCGAATAAATCTGAGGAAGCCAAATCTATGCCCTTGGGGGTTGCTTCAGGCACAGCAGCCCCCCTCTCTCCGGCCCGTACTTACCTTCCTCCCGTTCACACAGAACACGAGCTCCTGAGCCCCCGCGGCCCCTTGCTGCGCCATCGTTCGCAGCCCGGCACCGGAGCAGCAGGGAAAGCCGCGCAGCTGGACGCGCCCTGGGGCGGGGCGGGGCCGCGGGGCGGGCGCGGAATGCGGGGCCGAGCCAGGCGGTAACACGGGCATTGTTTCCAACAAATATTGATTTTCTTTAGCTTTCTAAAGTGTTATTTAAGTGTTGAAAAACGAAGTCGTGCCTCGCACTTTCTCAAAGGACACAGGTGTTCTTGCAGAGCTAAACAGCAACGTTAACACTGTGCACTGTTATCGGGTTCTTATAATATCACCAAGAGTAATTTAAAATTGAGATAAAATCCAGCAATGTAGTGATCATGGGACCAATGTGATTTTTTTGCTATATTTGCATTCACAAAATAATCAGCAGTAAGGTTCAGGTATCAACCATTTGTAAGGGCTAGTTGTGCAGGAAAGGTTTTACAGAAAAAATACTTTCCTCTTTTTCTATAATCAAAATATATGGAATTAATTTCCTACAAAATTTCAATTAGATTAGTAAACATGAGAAAAAACAACTTTAAAACTATAAAAAGAAGTTCAAATTACCTTATTCTCAGCAAAATTCTCCTAATTCTTGGTGATTGCTACAAACAGATTTTTATGTCAAAAATCATGAGCTGCTTTTTCATCATTTTCCTGGAAAGAGCTTCTAATATATCAAATGACCTGGTAAAACAATCACATATAGTGAAGTTTCAAAGACAATGCAACATTCTTTATGCTGCTTTTATGTTATCATTTTTTGTAACAATAAAAAGAAATGCAACCTAGGAAATAACAAAGTGAGTTTTCTCTGTGTTCTATTATTGAACATCAATTTCAGCAACAAGAGTGAGGATGGAGAAAACAAGGAAAGAAGGGCAGTAGCAATAATATGATTTTACAGTTACTTAGCTTCTGTGATCTTCAGGCCACTTTCTTTATACTTTTTTACTTGGAAGGATATCTATACTAAAGGAATGGAAGAAATGAAGGCATAAACCCCCAGGCCTTTTACTTTTATTGAAAATTTCATGCTTGTATTTGGGACACCCTAGCAGTCTAGCTGGTAACACCTGAGGCTGTGTAGAACAACAGGACCTTCACTGAAAAAATAATTAAGCCAGTCCCCAATGAGATTATTTATTTTCTGGGAAGATAAAACATGTGCCTCTGTTTCTAGCTTTCAAACCACAGGCAGTAGAGAGAAACAACCATTTAAAAAACCATTGTGTTTTGCTGCTGCAGTGCCAG